TCCCTCGTTTCATGTGAAGACAGGCCGAGCTTTCCACCATCATATGATGGACATCATCAGAGCTCGGTGTCATTCTTGTAAAGGTATCCCGTAAAAACTAAAGTAAAACACTACCCGGCTCTATCTTACTTCTTAAATAGACTCAATCGAGCCAAAAAATTAAAAATTCATAACCTAGATAGATCGATATATAATGGTTTGGTATGAAAATTAACCAAACCACTCTATATCGATCTATCTAGGTTACGAATTTTCAATTTTTTGGCTCGATTGAGTCTATATAAGAAGTAAGATAGAGCCGGATAGTGTTTTGCTTTAGTGTTTACGTGATACTTTTACAAGAATGACACCCAGCTCTGATGATGTCCATCATATGATGGTGGAAAGCTCGGCCTGTCTTCATATGAAACGAGGGAGGAAGTCTCGTTGACCGCCTCAACATCAATATCGTATAAAAACAACAAGATTCATCCGCCCTCATCTGGTAAGATCGACCAACGAATCCCTTCTTCATGCACTTTCATCCAAAATGAAGGTCCCCCTAGCAATAAAATATATAGCCTCTGGTCTTTAATTTTAATTGTCATTCATATTAATAAATTTAATTTAAAATAAAAATGTATATGAATTACGTAGCCTATGATCGTTTTTTATCAGATTTGAGACTCTAATTAAGATATTGAAATGTCGATTTTATGCGTGTATATGTACTTCGATTCAAGAAATGATATTCCCCAATAATAAAGATAGGGAAGCGAGTGAAACATGTATAACTTCAAAATATCATGTAGAGGGTACCCGAAGTAAAAAATGAAGCAAAACTGTATAAAGAATAAGTGCATAGTTACATTGCATAGTGAGCAGTATTGCATTCTTTATTTTCTCTACGGCACCTGAGAATTACAGATGTAACAAAAATAATTTATACAGAGGATAAAAGATATAAAGTTTTGACTTTGCACACATCAACGTAGAATAGATGCCCAATTGGGCTAATTTGGCATCGTTTTTGATATATATTGCACAGCCATAACAAATTCAAATAAGCGCAGTAATAAATTAATTAAAGTAAGGACGTAGCAAAAGTGGTCTAACCAATTTATAAATAAATACCTGTTGGATTATTCTGTGTACATATTTGGTTTATAGGAATGACTCAAATAAATGCTTTCACTTTAGTAAAACATTGAGACTGCATTAACTTGGGTGCAGTGAAAACGGAGGAGTAGAAAGTGCTGAAGGTGTGATAAAAGGCACTATACACAAAAATTGGCTCTGAAGATAGGCTGGTTTTCAATGGAGAAAAGAAATGCTGTTTACAAAAAAATGTGCGAAAAGATAATCAATAGAATGCCAGGCTAAATTTAGTTTAAATAGGCAAATATATATTTAAAAAACGTATAATACTGATTGACAAGAGCTTGAGCCAAAACAACTATGCAAGGCAAATATGAGATTAAGTTATCCAAATAAAGAGGAATAACAAACGCAAAGGCCAAAAAGATAATTGGAAATTTCATAGAGCACCTGCTAGCAAAAGCTTTATACTACTTTTAGTCTCAGAGTTAGTATATAGGATCTTTAGGCTTCCTTATCTCAACTCATGCAAATACGAAGAATCTAACCTTCTGTCTCTTCATTGGCCAACGGAGCTATACGCCCAGTGGCCAAAGTGGCAAGTCGATTGGGCTTGATAGTAGGGCCCCGAAAGTGGCCTGAATTAGAAGATTGAGAGTTGTAAGAGAGGTGCAAGGATATGGGGTCCGGAAAAGTAAAACGGGGAGCCTGAAGAAGTGGTTCCATGACCAACTTGAGGTGTCCGAAATTTCGTTCTAGTTCACGTTGATATTCGAGTTGATCAGGTCCAACTAAATTCCGGTTTGTGCAAAGAGCGTCATAGGATCTAGATGTGAACAATATAGCAACAAAAGAGGAATAGTAAACGGTTCAATAGAGAATATGCATGAGTGTTTGTGCACAGTGAGATAACACAAACTTGAATAGAAAAAATGGCACTATGGGTTACGGACACGATAGGCACTCTAATATATATATATAAATATCGCGACCGTTCATATATGTATATACATATAAATTCACATAAATATTAATGAGAAAAACGAAAGTCAGTATAGACTGCCTATTCCCGATGTTTAAAATGGGCTTCCTTAGGTATAAATTCTTTTTCCTCTTGGGCTCAATTCCCTAATACTGCTTGTGTCCAAATTTCTTAGATAAATTTTACATGTGCTTCAATTTCTATGAGCACGAATTTATTATATATAGTTAGCATCAACAATATGTTTAATTCCTTTAGGTAAACCAATTAGTTTTCCCAAATTTTAGGATATATATATATCTTCAGCTCTAAAAATGTAGGTGTATAGTCATTTAGATATAGTGCTTATTGATGCATTTCAGATAACGAATATTTTTTTTGCTTGTGAAATTCGGATATAAGAAGGCTTCCGAGTTTAACGTTACATAGAAACTCTCATATTTATTCGAAGATATGAAGACCAGGATGGTGGGGCATTTTGTATGGAGGCGGTCTCCTTCCATTGTACAGAAGTCGATTGACCTTGTTCCCGCAACTTGGTCATATTGGCAGGAAGATCTAGAGCGGATAAGGGAAGTGCGACGATCATAATGGACAAGTAACAATACGCGGATAAAGTGGAAAGTATCCTAGGCGACCGGAACACCTATCAAATAGTAAGAAAGGATCCAACAATGAAGATTAACTGGGCAATGAAGAATATGCCAAAGGAAAGACATAATAATGGGTAAATTGATAGATGGATGATGAAACCTTTAATCAAAAATGACGCAAGACAACCGACAGCCTACGTACTATCAAAGATACACAAGGAAGGAAATCCGCTAAGATTAAGGGTCAACAACAAGCATGGAGCAACACACAAACAAGCGAAATTTACTTACTTGAAGGTCAAGAAAGTAAATGACAGACTCTTGAATACCGTTAAGAATTCACATGAATTTTCTCAAAGGATTTAGAACATTGGGTTAATGGAGACGTAACTGTTGGTGAGTTTCAATGTACACTCCATGTGCACAAACATCTCAGGCGAGAAGGCAGTCATCACCCTGCTGGAGTTCTTGGAACGAGAGGAGGATAGCATGGAAGCAGAGCGGATACATGGACACTGAAAGATCTGAAATAGCGGAACCCATCTCACAAACGGGAAACAAATTAAGTGGAACTCGACAGAAAAGCTGGCTGCATATGGTGGAAAGACAAGAAAACGTAGGATACAAGAAACCATTGATATCCTGACTGAAAGAAACCTAATGAACAATAGACTTGAAGAAAACAGGATTAGCGAAAACTTTGCATACTGCCTAAGCAAACTCGGAGAGGATCAGTGAACAGCAATATCCGCAAAAAGAAGACGACTTGACAAAAGTAACAATTTTAATTTTATGTAAAGTTATTACAATGAAGCCTAGAAAGAACAATTGGAAACCAAAAGAAGAAGTATAAAGTGAGCCTATTCAAATCAAATAGGATCATCCGATTTGGGGAATTGGCACGCAATGGAATGTCATAGAAGATCGAGTGAAATGGTAGTGGCCATTTCTAGTTGGTTATTAGTAGATAAGTTTGCTCGTAGACGTGATCCATGAAGGAAAGGCTTGACCACGGCATTTACTCGGTGCACATGCCGCACAACGATAAGGGAATATTAAGTATCAAGTTGGGTCGCCATGTCAAATGAGAATTCAGATTTATGGGCTTTCTCAGTAAGGCTGGTGTATACATGCTATCAATAACTTGAGGCAGAGTGTAGTACAGCGCCTTGATAAGCACGGATACGGTGACAGCGATGGAGTAAAACAAAAAGACAAGGGAAGGATCCTACGGAGGAAAAGAGGACTCTGAAAGGACGCGAAAAAAAGAGGATTGTGGATTAAACCGCAGTCATGGATCAACAATCCCGGCACAGTGGGAGAGATGAGGAAACCAGCGTGAAGTGTGCATATATTTCAAATAGGCCTAGATAATCAAGTAAGAAATTCTGCTATCGAGGTGCGATACGACGATATAGGATAGATGAATTGCACAGGACAGAAGGAAATACCACAACTGTTTAGCACACATTTAATCAAAGGATCGACTTCACTTGTCTATTTGACGAGTTATAGTGTGGCGCTTAGAATGACAAGACTCACTGACGATGCCGACGAAACTCTGGCAATGTACCACGTCCACGGTCCCACTGCGGAAATTATTGTGCATACTATGGACTTCGGACAGGGTGCGTTCGTTTAGGTCTTCCTGCTAATATGATAAAACAAGATCAAACAACTCCCATATATATATATGTATAATCTGCAATGTAATGGGGAAAAAAAGGGAAGTAATATTAAAAACGTTGCCTTATCCTGATTGCAAGCTTTGTCTATACCTATCGCCAAATATTTAGATAGATGATAATCCTCGAACTCATGAAGATAAATGAAAGTGAGTCTAGGCCCAGGAAATAGCAAATAATTTATTTTTAATTTACTAAGATATGCAGACCAATATGGTGTGCTTCTATTTTTGATTGCAGTCTCATTTGGGAGTATAAATGATTTAACCTCGCTTCACAACTTAGTCGGAGCAACAGACGAATCTTTAGGGCAAAACAAATTCAGCGTTCTTTGTCATATTATTCATTCACAAACGGGGCTGAACCAAGTCAATTGTCCAACTCTGCATTATAATGGCAGAGGACGCAGAACTAGATGTATTCCACAAGGTCTCCCTGTCGATCCGACCAAGATGCGAATGCAAGATCAACCCAATACCAAATTAGTAAGAGGAGGTATCTAGGCTTTCACATGCCTTCCAGTTAGAATTATAACGTTGATAATCATAAGATGGGTGGTGATGATCACTATTTGAGTGACGTCTCCATAAGTCTGGCATAACTTCTCTTAATATGGCCTCAAGAGGAAGTTTGGGGAAAACATTAGTACTAGAGCAAATTCAAGGGGATATTGAAAATAAAAATGCTGAGAATATTGCATAAAAATAAGCGAGTTCCTTAGTAAATTTTGAAGCAAAGGATGACTACTCCTGAGTGACTTCTATAGGTACAAAAAATTGTTATAACTAAGTACTAGAGGTATATAAAACGTGTAAAGTATGGTCATCATGTCTGAATAGCAATCTACCGGCTAAGGAATTCCTTGAGACAAAGGCGAAGACGATTGTGTGCAGGCGTGTAGGTTTCAGAAGAAGGTGGCCCAACTATTTTGAGATTAGGGCCCAAAAAGACGGAGGCAACTTCAGCCGGGCCTTGATTGACAGTAGTTCCAACGCAACCCTAGAATCAGATAGACAACAAGGGCTCTAGAACCAGTAGCAAACGTAATAATGTAAAGGAAGTTGCATAAAGGGGTTGCGATGTGATTGTAACTTTTAGGTTATCATCCACTTTGCATTTAGCTAACGCACCTATATAAATATTTCCAGTGATTTTTCGAAATCCCAGACAAATTAGGTTGCCAATAAAATTCACTTCATCTGCTGAGAAGCCTGAGAAAATGCATTAAATAGATAAATTGAAGGACCTTATAAGATCTTGCTCTCAGGCCTTAATTTTTTTCTTTTATAACTCCTTCAATAAGAATACATTAAGACGAGTCATATTTCAAGCCCACATTCACACGAAATAGACATAATAATAAATCTATGTTCTTTGCGGCTGGATATAGCTTGGGCTGAAATATTAATTATATTTTGCTCATCTAGTGGCTATATTGTAAATAATTGCGCTATTTTCCCTATTCTGCATATACAACTATAGGTTCGTGATATACTGTTAGCTATTATTTTTTAAAATGTAGAGATAATTTTATAACTTGTCGGACTATGCTTATTTTTATATTTCTGAAAATATTATTGGAAAGTTCAGTCTAGGTGTAAGTACTTTTCAAACCTGAACAAATTAAACTAGATAAGTCAAAAATTGCTTCATCGTTATCATATTGATTAGTCTACCATGTGGAAAATTCCAGTATTCACCTCGAATAATCTAAAGCGACTGATTTCTTAGTTAAACAATCAAGACTCAATTATAAGCAATTTAAATGAAGTAAGAATAGTTTGATATTATGCATAATATGCATGCATGAAAATATTTTTGTATCCGACAGCAATATGCTTACGATAACAGTTTATGTTTTAAAAAAAAACAATATTGAAACACGTACCGACTGAAATATATTCATATCAATATTTAAATCGTACACAGTCCTGTCATTGAAACTATTTGATGAGTTAACACAATGAAATGCAATTGTAACATTATATTAGAGTCATATTAAAAAGTAGACTCAACCTGAATGGTACAAAGTATTGCTGGTTTATAAGTAGGTTTTCGAGACATTCACCACAAAAAGATTGAGAAAAATACATTCAGGGAATCAATAAATATTACTAAAAATATCAAATACCAAAATATCGGAGAGATTTAACTAAAAATATATAAGCTACTTTGGAGCTTTGGGACTGTAATAGATGCAATTGATGAGAACGATTCATTGCTTCATTTTGTAAACTATCTAATTAATATTTAAAAATCATGAACAATTAACGTTGTAACTAATAAAAAATGTAAAATAATTCATGCGTTTTAATAAATTTAATGTTAGTGCAAATATTTACTCTACACAAATGGCGCAACACTTAGATTCAGCTGTTACTTCAGTCATGTGGATTCCTATGTAAATTTAAGCAGATATGAGGAATACAATCTACACGCATATATACTTGAGTATATTTGCACTTGGATACTGTTATGATCTTGAACGTTAGTCTTAATAACGAATAACATTATATGCTAATAATATTTACGTATATATACATAATGTATATTTAAAGAATATTTACTCAAATAGCATTGTATCAAAAATATATGCACAAACATTAATGAATAATTAATTTTATTTGGACATTGTAATTTTATTATTTACTCGAAGGTATGAAGACCAAGATGGTGTGGCCTTTTGTGTGGTCGCAGTCTCCTTTTTGTTGTATAGAGG